GAAGCTAAAATCAAAAAAAAGAAAAAATATTTTGCCTAGTGTCTCTATAAGACACTAGGCAAACTGGCCAGTTTGCCTAGTGTCGTCCGGAGACACTAGGCAAAGTTCTAATTTTGCCGAGTGTTAATGGAAGACACTCGGCAAAATGGTAACGGCGGTTGCCCTCCGGCAGCCTTTGCCAAGTGTGATGGTATGCCTAGTATTGACACTAGGCAAAATAGTCATTTACCGAGTGGATTTCTTTGCCTAGTGTCGACACTCGGCAAATAGTTATTTTGCCTAGTGCCTTTATTTTGCCGAGTGCTCCGGGGTCTAACACTCGGCAAACAAGCTCTTTGCCTAGTGTCCGACGATTGGCACTAGGCAAACCATTAAACACTAGGCAAATCTCGATTTTCCAGTAGTGGTCAAGACAGACGCAATCTGCAAGATGCGATTCTTTCGTACCTGATATCGGATGCCAATTTGATTTACCTCACGTGCCGCGTAGGGCAGTGGTTAGTAGATACATATCGTGTAGGGCGTTTGGCATTGTCGTAGAATTGTCTGCTTGACGACGACGGTGCATGTCCATGCAATATAGATTAGATGCGGGTAGAGGTAGCAGATCCGTTCCGCTAACAACGTCGGAGATGTTGACGTCGTCAAAGTAGTCGCGGATGGACGTCGATGGTACAAGCGTCGGCATCGAAGATCGACGACGACTCCAACGGCAATGTCAGCGAAGAGTTTGTCGTGCTGATAACGTGTTATAAAACATGTTGCCAGTGGTTAGAACATTCTCCTCTCTGTCTTTCATGATCAACATAGTAGATGAAAGTAGAAAAACAAATAGACACAAGATAGGAAGACTATTCTTTAATTGCTTTGAATATTCGTGATTACAACATAGAGCTCCCACATATATATAGTCATGCTAAGGCCTAAGAGTTTGATAAGAACCCACACAAACAGACTAGATTAGGATTCCACCTTTTCCATTCCTTACAGGATAGAGTTCGTATGTTTTACAACATTGACTACGTACATGATGTTTTTTTAAAAACAATATCGACTTAATTTTTGTTGCATGTGCATGTGCGGTTCTTATTACTTGTATATTTTAAAAACTAATGATCTACTGACTTCTTGTATCAACCAAATTATATCACTACTATTATGCATATATTTATGCCTTTATGGATTATGGTTCTATCTAGTAGCAACCAATTAATCTACGGTACATTAATACCATTTGCATATCTACATTAGTTGTATCTATTGTGTTGCGTTGCACACTTGAATGGTTACATGCGTGATGCGATTGTTCCCAGTTTATCGACGGGTACCGATCGATGTGTATCTGACCTTCGCTCCTGATATTCCAAATTTCCTATTGTTTGGTTTTCCTTCCGTTTTTCGTGTAGAAATTGAAATAAAAAATGGTTAGAAGGTTTTCTCAACCGTTCCCTACCATTTTCATCCCTACAACTACACACAGACTAGAAGATTGCACCCCTTAAGCTATATATAACGGGGCCATCCATGGCTGCATAGGCGACAAATATGTCACATTTTTCCTCTGAAAGAAACAGATGTCTCCTAAACTAAGCTGAGATCAAGAGCAGGCCGGGTGAATTTGGGTCTCTTAAAAACTTAGCCTGGGTTCTACTTGAACATCACTAGAAAAAATGCATAAACTAATTAACTAGCATGATGTAGTCCTTAGTTTTTGTTTTCAAAAGTCCTCTGGCTACCCAAACTAACAAAGAGTTCTGCAACTTAAAGTTAATACTACCAACTAGCGTATGCTAATTTAGAAAAGGCAAAGGCCACACAAAAGAAGCACAAAATAGAAGTTTAAGTACGGTAAGAGCAAGTCAAAAGAGAGTAAACTCCCAGAGAAGAGGATATCTCATAGTATCAGTTGATAAACCACAACCCTTAGTCCATGCCGGAGCTCAACCAATGTATGCTTCGGTTATCAAGCCTTCCCCCAGTCACAACATTGAGCTTGCCACAAAGATTTGCACAACCAAGGCAAATGATGCAAGCCACAAATGCTCATTACTTCCACCTGACTTTCCCGCTCACTCTGGCATCGTCCACTATGGAGCTTCTCCACAAAAAAGGGGTCTCCTTGTCATCTACACACCAAGTCACCATCACTCCACACCAAGCTCAAAAAGTTGATGTCGCCCAAAAAAAACACCAAGACCTCAAGTGCTCCGACACACCAACCTTACAAGGGCACAACAACCGAAGCTATCAATCTCTAAGGCTTAACTCACACAAAGATGAACCCTAACTTCTGTCATGTGCCTTGGATAATCAATATGCACTTGAGAGGGTAGATGGAGTGTATAATTACTTAGTCTGGCTTCTAGCAGCCTTTGGCACTCCAAAAACATTAGATCAACTCTAGCAAGGATCCTAAACAGGCCCCTGTTCACAATTTGAGGGATGAGAGGAAAAACATCAAGTCCCTATTCAAGCGCTCAAATTGGGCATCCTCAAAACTCCCATTGGAGCCCTCAATCCGCTGGTGTACACCTGGGCCCCAAATGATCATTGATTGGTTAGTCTCTCAGGATTGATTGTTGTTAGATTGCTAGGCTTTTTATTTTAGTTTGTGTTACTTGATATAAAGATCTTGAATTAATAAAATTCTTCCATCATCAAGGGAAAAAATCTCAACTATCACGGGAAAGAAAAGTGTGATCGCTCAATGCTTTTGGAACAAGCCTCGCTCTGGTTGTTGAAAATTAGTTTTGCTATGGGGAAAATTGTTTTCTTGTAAGATTATATTTGTATAAGTTGAGTATAAACTATATATGACATATGCCGACAGAATCTTCCCTTATATTTCTTCATCTTACTATAACATAATAAAAAATATGTAGGAGTGGGTAACAACATGGCAGTACTTGTAGCTATTTGCGTTAAAGAAAACCAGCAGATTCTCTTTCTACACAAGCTGGCCATCCGTGCAAATATTCCAATCATTGACGCGGCACTCACGCTAACCGAGATTAAACAATTCCCTCCGCTCTGCAAAGATCATGGCACTGTAATCACTGTCTGACAGTTGAAAGAATGGAACCTTCTGAGTTCTGAGTTCTGAGCTCTGAGCAAGCCACGCTTTCATCATTTGCTACTGCTTTTAGTCTAGTCAGAAGAATATTGTGGTCGTAGTAGCTACTAGTAGATTACATTAGATTAATCACCGTTTTTTTCTCTCGAATATGCAAGAGCATTGCGTATCTTTGTATTAAGAAGATAGTAGTTTGAAAATACAAAAGAGGTCGTTCCCAGCCCGACTGATATCTCTAGAGGCTAAATTTTGGCTATGACATCCATAGGATCCATTGGGATCAACCTAAACTACGTGCGGGCCTATGGAGCCATGGTCGAAGACCAGCGAGCTGCTCCATCAGTCATCGCCCTGGATGCTGGGAACAACTCATCGAGAGCCTCGATGTCCGCTGCCGAAAGGTTGCCCTTGAAGTAGGAGTCGTACGAGCGCTTGGCCACAGAGGAACTCGGCGCTGAAGGTGCCATGAATCCCATCTTCTTCATGAGCAGAACTTCGCCGCGTTTGGACGCCGGGATGTGGTCCATCTGCTGAGCAGCAATCCGCTTGCTCCTAAGGGGCAAGGTCCGCTTTGACGCCGACTTCTGCTTGGGCGGGGTGTTGATGAGAGGTGGCAACCTCGTTACCTGGACCTCCTCGGTGAACCTAGCTAGTCGCTTGGCGGCCTCCCTCGGTGTGGGCATGTCCTCGGCGCTGGGCTCAGTTGTTGCACCGCCCGTTGCCGTGCTGTCGGCCGCCTCAGCTTGCGGTCCGGCCACCATGCAATCGACCGAAAGCACAGCCGTGGAGTGTGCCTTCGTTGGGGTGGAAGGTGGGACCTCCATCCCATCTTAGTCGATAGTTACACCTGCATGATCGACCTGATTGGAGGTCACCTCCATCGGATCGACCTCCACCTCCGCTATCATGGGATCACAGAGCAGCGCTGCCTCTAGAATCATGGGATCCGAGGCGGGGTGTCATCCAGCGTCCTGGCCGCAATCAGGAAGCGTTGCAGAGGCGGACACGAAGTTGTATGGGTCCCACAGGTTAGGGACCGTCGGAGGTGCTGTCGATTTGTCCGCCATGGTGACCGCTGCCACCGACGTCTGCACGACGGCCGAAGGCAAAGAGGCTGGAGGGGTTGTGCCGCTCGCCTGTGAGCTCGGCTACGAGGCAGGGCTGCCGGAGCCCGGTTCACCCTGACAGAGCGACACTGGCTAGAGTCTGTAGCGTCGACCCCGCCATTCCTCGGTGAGCGAGAGCACCTGCAGTCCCTAGCCAGGTGCCCAAACCCTCAGCAACGAAAACATCGCCGCGGCAGGCGGCGATGCGGTGGGTGAAGGACAAGTAGTTCAGGCAGCGGTCGCGCAATGGCTCCGGGATGCCGCGCTGCCGTGGCCACATGCTTCTGGTGACGCGAGTAGCCGCCGGCGGGTCCGCTTGTTGGGGTAGCATCTCCCTCCATCCCTCAGAGTCCGGTGGTGAGTGGCGTCGCCGTCTTCATGGCGGCTCACGTGCGCCCAAGCGTCAGTGGGCTGGGATGTGTGCGGCAGCGTGGCCGCGTTCACCTAGTTGCTGGTGGGCTAGGACGCGTGTGGCGGCGCCACGGCCCACTGTGCCGCGGTCACCCAGTCTGAGCGCAACGATGGCATGAGCATGCCCATCCCGCGGTGCTGCGCGTTATGGTTTCCTCCTGCACCTACGCCTGCGCCGTTGCCGGCCAGTGCGTGGTGCACCTTGGATCTCGCCAGAAGCCTTCGCCAGCGGCTCGACCTCAGCGCGGGTGGCCGGTCGGGGGCGGACCACACGTACTGGGGAGCTCTGGCGGACGACGTCTGCATAGGAGCGTGGGGTGGTAGTGACGTCGAGGTCCGAGTCGGTGGCGGGCTCACGAGGAGGTGCATGCTCGCTGCTGCCCACGCGGCGTCCCAGGCGCACAGGCTGCCTAGGCCTCCGTCGGCGCTTCGCCCTTTTGCGCACAGCCTATGCTCCGGAGCCTGCTCGTCGTGGCGCACAGCCTATGCTTTGGAGCTTGCTCGTCGTGGCGCACAGGCTGCCTAGGCCTCGGTCGGCGCTTCCCCCTTTTGCGCTTTGATGGGCGTTGAAGTTCCCCTGCCTCCGCGGCCTTCGGTGGTTGCTCCTTGACGACACAGGTGTACTGCTGGGAACTAGTCCCTGCCTCCAGGCTTGCCTGTGCCGGAGAGCCCCGGCGGACGGCGTCGAGGTAGGACCCCCGAGATGGTTGCGCGGACTCGGCGTCATCGTCGGCGTCGGTGTCGGTGTCGTAGATGGAGATGTCGGACTCCTCGACCCACCTCGTGGCCTTGGTGCGCCCTGGGTCCCGGTGGGGAAGAAAGGGGTGGCGTTGGGAGAGAGGGAGGTTGGCCCCTTACCAATGGAGGAGCCCGAGGGTGGCTGGGTGGCCGCCGGTGCCGGGGCGGCAGCCGGCGGGCTGGGGAGGTGGGTGATGGGGAGGGCTGGGGGGAGCAGAGCGCCTCCATCCCCCCGGAACCAGCGCTAGATCCCGCTCGGCCCTCGCTGGTGTCATCGTCGTCGGGATCCGACGCAGGAGAGGCAGCCGTCGGTGGAAGGGTGGCCGCCGCAGGTGGTGCCCGGGAGATCGACGCTGGCGGCGGCGGCGGCGGCGCACCTGCGCCCGCGGGCGTCCAGGGAGTGGGAGGACGGGAGGACGAGGTGGATCTGGGGCGGGGGTTGAGGGGGGCGAGGTGGAGGCGGCGCCGGCGTCGGCGTCGACCGGCGCCGCCGGTGGTGGCGGTGGGGAGGAGGCCAGGGGCCGGGTCCCAGCCGAGCCCGCGCCTGGCTGGTTGGAGGGGGTTCACTTTCCCAGTGGGAGAGGTTGCGGGAGGGGGAGGAGAGGGGGTGCCGTTTGACAGCAGAGGATCGGAAGAGCAGCAGCGCGATGACTTTGCTGTCTCCTCACCAAAAGCAGACCTCCATTTGCACCACATTCCTGACCTCCTCTTGCATTATTGCATCCTTGAGATCTGTCTATAGAGTACATGCAACATGCTGGAGAACAAATGCACAGTTCCTCTAAGCTTATGGAGAGAGGATATGGATCACATGTTTGTTTGGGGTGATGCTGCAAAGCATGTGGCAACTGGCAACACATGTGCGCGCAGTCCTCTCTCAAGCTTTATAATTTTGCGGACCGGGGGAAATCGACAGAGCAGCTTTGCTTCGGGGTGCCTTGCTTCCAGGCGTGCTTCAGGGTCCACTACAGCCTGTGCGCCACTGCCACAGCCTTTTATATTCTGATGAAAATCCAGCCTCAGAATAAGCGCGGAGTTTTTGGAGTTTGAGAATTCAGATCAGTACTGAACAACAGTGTGCATGGACTATAAACCGTTATTTTGAGGAGCCAGAGGCTCCTCCTGTGATTGTGGAGTTTCTCTTTTATAGCTTCGTGATTGGAGTTACTGCTCATGCTCATCTCGGGATCAGTACCATCTTGTAATGCTTTGGATCTGATAAATACTTGTGTACGTACCACATGAGACGTCCAAGAACAACTTAATATTTTTTTTTGAAAGAAAAAAGAAATAGGAAGAATAGGCTCTGTTTGCTAGTGGTTACCACTAGGGATGGGCGGATGGTATAAGAAAACCTGCTTAGTTCATAGTGCAGGTTGAATGTCACCATCTTCCAAAGCAACATTATATATAGTATTACGGGACTAGTATTAAGAAGAGCGTATTATAGTAGTCCACACGCTCTGATGATTGAGGCTGAGGGTGGGAGCGAGAAGGGCAAAGTGTCGGCCAGTCCTCCTTGTGAGAGAGCGTGTGGCTGTAGAGAGAACGGCTACTTGTCCGGTGAATACTACTCCAACTATGCCTCCAGTTTAGTGAGTCTTGACAGTCTAACTAACTGAAATAGAGCTTCAGGGCCAGAACTGGGACGACTGAACAATCTGAAATAGAGCTACAATTTCGTCTAAGTTGTTCCTTTTTAATTTCCCCAGCAACAACTAGACACTCAACACGCATGGTAGCAACAATACTAGGATTTCACAATACGGCCGCTATTGTTGTTCTATATATCAGCTTCAACTAGAAAACAAACAAGGCTAGCTAGCTCTAGCCGAACATGAACTTGAAGGCAGCGAGCGATATCATCAGTTAGTGCTGTTCGTTTATTGCACGAGCCATGTGAACCAGAGGGGAAAATAAAATCAGGGATTGTTTGGCCACCACCTGAACCCCCTCCATAATAATTCGTCGCAATAAATCCCCGACCAATCGCGCACTGTAGCAGCGTGCGATGTACAGGTAACAGTTTGGCCCAGTCTAGTCTAGTTAGTCGGCCAGCCGGTTGGTCAAGGGATCACATCGTGCAAACATTTTTAAATTGCAAGCAAAACAGGCAATTACTAGCTAGGAGTATATCTCCAATAAGAGTGAACCCCGCCCAAGACCCAACCCCGCCTGGTCGCTCACGTCTCTCTGATAAGATTGCTTAACTACGGATTAATCTTTCATTATATGGAGAGGGACACACTTTCATTATAACAACCGTTGAGTCTGTCGGACGTTCTGTCACAAGTCACACCCCTGCTCTGCTCACTTGTAGTTGTTGAACTTGAATTATAGGGCCTTCTCAGGATCTCTTGGCATAAATACCATTTTCTTCATCAGAAACCCAAAAAAAAAAAACAAAGGAGCTTTATCGGTCTTTAATTTTCCTCTCAGAAGAAGAAAAGAAGAAACCCAATGACATCAAACATCGTCAGAAAGAAAACGTGGCGCTCGCTGCCCACGAAAACGAAGAAGAGATCAACACGAGGGACCCGTCACCTACCGCCCGTTTTGTCATGCCTCCCGGGGCCGGCGGGCCTGAGCCGGAGCCGGAGCCCGGAGCCCGGAGGGGTCACCACCGCCCGTTGGTTCGTGCGTTCCTCTCATCGCACTCCTCCGTCGTCAATCCGTCATCATCATGGACGATGGATCCCGGGCGGCCTCGCTCGATCTCTACCTGCCGTCTGCTGATCGACTTGGGTCGCTCGATCCGCTCGTGAGACATCCATCGATCAACACGGCGGTTACGTTGCTAATTATTCCGGGTAACCACCACACACACACACATTTTTTTTTTTTTGGAGGGGGGGTGTGCTGGTAGTGGGAGTGGGAGTGAGCTGCTAGCTTTTCTTTCTCTTGCGTCTGATCCTCCTCGGGGAATGCATGCCGCATGTGTCGCTCGCGTGTGCAGCTGGGTTGCGTGGTGGTTACATGACCCACCGACTGACCGACCGACACTTTACGTATCTTTCCGCTTGTTTCTCAATTGTGCAGCCATGATTGGGCGCCAGCAGCCACTCTGGCCTATGTATGTATATCGTTGCATGCATCTACCACTTGTTCTCCATATATAGGCCACCCTACTACTAATACCGATACTAATACCAGTGTGGGTGGCTAGACAAATTTTATATTTCCTACTGCTGGCGACTTTTGTTTTGTTGTTGTGTGTGTTTCTTAGCTCAGGTACCACAAACCATCGTGGAATCACACTGCAGCCCTCCTCGTGCTTCCGCATTTGCCGTGAGGCATTCATTATCGCATTACTATTTCCTGCTACCAAAGAAAATTAGCGCGCCGGAAAAAAGGAGGATAAATCTGAACGTGTCCTTATTGCGGATATTCTCTCCCTCCCTCCATAGGATACTGCACGTACTACTGTTATGGTTTCCTGCAGGGAATGTAGGGTTGGGGTCAATCATGATGCATGATGCATTTGGAATGCTTGTATCACGAATCAACATTATTTTTCAAAATATTCAATATAGTGCATTCTAAGGTTTCGAGACAACTTAAAGGAACACTCAAATAACGCATGTACCCATGGATTATATTCAATTAAAGAGTTTCTTCTCAAATTATGGTTTTCTTTTAAACAAATTTTGCCAAATCTAGGCATAGTCATTATATAAAATGCACTATATTCTCAATCAAATAAAATGCACTATGTTGCAGTAAAAATTTTAAAAGTCAAAATACACTTTACTTCAGGACGGAGGTTTTGAAAGTAAACACCGAGATTTTGAATACATTAGGGTATATCCACTACTACAGGAAACTTAACCGAGGCGGGCAAAATGGCTTAACCGAGGCGGGCAAGCCAACCGCCTAACGGAGGCGATTGGCCAACCGCCTCGGTTAATCGATTAAAAAACACAAAAAAATCCCTAAGTCCACCGGCGAGCCCGAGCCCGCCGGTGAGCCCGTTCCCAGCCCAGTAGCCGGATCTAGCTACGCTGTCGCCCGTCGTGCCGCACGCAGGAGTAGGGATCCACGCCGGAGAAGGTCGATCCTCGCCGGATCTACGTCGGAGGAGGTCGATCCGCGGCGGAGAAGGCTGGATCCACATCGGGGTCAGGGAAGGCCGGGTCCACGCCGAGGAAGTTCAATCCGCACCGGGGAAGGCCGGATCTGCATCGGGGAAGGCTGGATCCACGTCGGGGAAGGTCGATCCACGTCGTAGGAGCTCCAAGGAGAGGGGCGCTGCCGCCGTCGGCTTGCGAACGCGAGGGCCGCCGCCGCCTCCTCTGGGCCCGCACGCGTGGCTCCTGCTGCCGCCACCGCCACAGGGCCCGCGCGTGAGGCCGCCGCCGCCGCCACGTCTGGAGAGAGGGAGGAGCTGGCGTGGCCATGGGAGAGAGAGGGAGTAGCCGACCTTGCCGCACGCAAAGGGAGTAGTCGGGTGCGCTGAGAGGGAGGGAGGAGCTGAGAGAGATGGAAAAATGAGAATGAAACCCTAACCCTAACTCTCCATATATATAACGAGCGAGGTATTAGGCCGAGATGGGCTACCTGTTGGGCCACTATTTCTGGAGGCGGTTGCCTTGGGCCACTATTTCTAGAGGCGGTTGCCTCGACATCGCCACCAGCCACGCCTCGGGCGAGGAGGCGATCGGAGCGATCTTCGACCGCCTCAAGGGCAAGGCGAAGCAGGACGAGGACGCCGGTGAAGGCGCCTCCAACCATCCCAGCAAGAAGAAGAACAAGCAGCGGCACGAGGGCTCGCTTGTGGCCGCCGCTGACCGCAAAGGGGGTCGGAAGCCCACCGAGGGTACCCCGAACCATGCCTTCCCCGTCAAGCATCTATACAAGGATTGTGGCCTCATGAAGCGGTTCTTGTCCGGAGGCTCCAACAAGGGGGAGCATAGGGGGGACCCCAAGCCGACTATAGACGACGCTGAGGAGAAGGACGGTGGCTTTCCGACGCTAGATGGCTACCTCATGATCTTCGGAGGGTCAGCGGCCTACGACTCCAAGCGCCGCCAGAAGCTTGCGCGCCGCGAGGTCTATACGGTTGAGCCAACCGCGCCTTCCTTCCTCCGATGGTCGGAGTCCGCCATAACCTTTGATTGGACCAACCACCTAGAAAGCGTCCCACAGCCGGGACGATATCCGCTCATGGTCAACCCGATCATTGGCACGAAGCGGCTCACCAAGGTACTGATGGATGAAGGCAGCGGTCTCAACATCATATACGCTAAAATGCTCGACGCCATGGGTATCGACCGAGTCCACCCATGAGCCCATTCTCGAGCCCACCGGTGAGCCCATTCCCAGCCCAGTAGCCGGATCTAGCCACATCGTCGCCCGTCGTGCCGCACGTAGGAGTTGGGATCCGTGCCGGAGGAGGTCGATCCGCGTCGGGGAAGGTCGATCCGCTCCGGAGAAGGCCGGATCCACGCTGGGGAAGTTCGATCCGCACCGGGGAAGGCCGGATCCGCATCGGGGAAAGCTGGATCCACGCTGGGGAAGGTCGATCCAAGCCGTTGGAGTCCCAAGGAGAGGGGCGCTGCCGCCGCCAGCTTGCAAACGCGAGGGCCGCCGCCGCCTCCTCCGCCATGCACGCGGTAGCTCTCTGCCGCCCGCCGCCACTCACCAGGCCATGCAGGTCGCCACCACGCCACGCCCTGGAGAGAGGGAGGAGCTGGCGT